TGAACTGTGACCATTGATGAAAATATTTTATAACTCATTTAAATAGCAACTTATATCACCTCATTGTACCCCATGACAATGTGGTTCTTTTGGAGAAAGATGGGCAGTTGACGAGCCTTCTTCAGTGGAGGATTTTTCATGGGAAGATGTCTCCTACCATCTTGGTGGATGATTAAATAAATCATCGTCGTCGTTGGGGCACATGAGCCTGTCCAATACTACTATTCGTTAACAAGAGCACTTATAACGATTTTTTTGGTATATGATGGACCTAACTTCCCACTCATACCCGCATAGTCAGCCGACTTTTCCATCCTACTCTTATTTATGCGGACGTTACATGAAATCTCCGGTTGAATTGGTTTGTTGTAATGGACACCATTCATGTATGACATGGTAATTTCAATTTTTGAGGAGTCCAAGTTACAAATACCAATTTGCAGTATAATATAGATTAGAAAAAATGTATTTTCAACAATTCACTATAGAGTACATAGCGCTTATTGAAAGTTTACATTAGGGTTTTGAAAAATAGTCGAATCCTTTCAACTGGCAGCGAATGGTTGCTCATCTGCCATCCAGTTCTTGTTGTGAGGGTGCATCCTCAATATCCTTGTGACCACAATTCTACAAAGACTAGGAAAAGTCTCGTATATCCATGTTTGGAAAGTCATTAATATACCGCATAGCCAATAGTGTGTAACCCTCCTACTCAACCCGTTTTTCAATGCACTCAAAGTAGTTTCAAATAGTAACTTACCACATGGGAACATCTTCATTGAAGAGAAGTCTTTTACCATAGTGACAAGAAGTGGTCAACGACTTTCTTATAATCTCTAGGAAAGAGATAAGCATTGATGAAATAAAAAGCCCCCGTATAGCAATGTCATTATCTGGAAGGGCTTCAACAAGATCCAAGTCTGGCATTTGGCACATAGATATAAATGTTGACTTAAAGTCATCATGTGTTACTATCCACTTGACAAAAGTATTTTCTCTTCAATTGTAACAGTCAACTTTCAAACGACTGCGTATCACTGTCTCCAGAATATCTTAGGCCTATGACTAAGCAGAAATCGAATATAGAGAACCTGATGTACTTCCCAGACACATAAAACCATATTTCTTCGTAGTTAGGGTGATGTACTTGCCTTAAAAGAAAGTAGTGAATCAATTGTGATTGTATCACAATTTCATGGCAATCTAGGAAATGGACAAAGCATATTCCCATCAATAGTTGTTTTTTGTTTAAGTTTGTTTGAATGGTGGTAAGAACACCTTTACTCACTAAGGTTGTAATCCTACTTGGAAACCAACTATCTTATTGTACTATGAATTGCCAAACCTGCATTAAATATTTGAAATATTTGGAATGACACAATAATAAATAACTGTTTGGAATCACACACAGAGAAAATGTTACATAATGTCACTTATTCATAAAATTTAAAAATGGTCACAATAGACTCTCTATGTGACCATGACAAATCATTGTTGAAAATAAAATCACGACACAGACATAGATAATGTTATGCACTCAAGCCACATATTCATAAAAACTTTGGTCACATTCGGATTTTTTGATCACATATGAACTGTTTATGTTTAGAACACGTATCATTCATAAAATCAAAATCAGGTCACGAGCATACATAATGTTATGCATTCAAGCCACACATTCATAACAACCTCGATCACATTCGGATATCATGGTTACATTTGGACTCTTTATGGTTAGAAAACATATTAGTCATAATTTTTTTTAAAAAAATAAAAATAAATCAATTTTCACAATATGTAGGATTCAAATACAAAACCCTAACTTATTCCAATCACAAATGAAATTGAACCAAATAAAGATAAAAAATGTCCAATATATTTTCAATACTTCTTACCCATCAATTTTTGAATACATACATATCACTTAAGTTGTAAAAAAAAAGAAAAAAAAAATTCAAAAATCAAAATAACCTTGTTCAAGGGTCCTTTCGCACGGTCACAGACGATGCGTGTTTTTTTAGTGACCTTTTTTTGGAGCTCTCCTCAATCTTCCTCTTGCTTCTTCTTCATGGTATGTCTTCGACATTGATTACCCTTTTTGCACCCTTCAATTTTACCATTTTATTTCGATTACAGGATCTTTGGTTTTCAAAAAATAATGGACGAGATGATGAATAAGAATATATGATGTTGATAATATAGAGATGACAAGCACAAAATGTAGTTGAAATGGCCGGAATGGGAAGCAACTGGACGAAGTTATCGTGTGGAATCTTGTGGGAGGAGTTTTAAAGAGAGCAAATTTGGATAGTAATGGAAGTTAAGATAACGGGTAATTTGAATTATGATATTTAAGGGAACGTGCCATATGTATTTATTATACATGTTATTTAATTATTAGTTGTAATTAAAATAATTAATATTTAATTATTAACTCAATACCTAAGTTCTGGTTAAAAAAATTTCTGACCTGATTTTTGTGTTGTGAACTTGAAATGTCAGGAACTGTGTAATTTCCCCTGGACTTTAACAAATTCAAAAGTCCAATTAACGTGGGCTCGGATCAACCTCTCGACATGCTCTTTATCCAATTCCAAGTGCTTGTTGCATATTTCACTATTTATTATTATTATTATTATTATTATTATTATTATTATCCTTAAGCTCAAAATTGACAACGAATATGCCTATCGAAAACGATGACACAACATCGGCAATGAACAACTGGAAGGTAGCTACCGATTCCACGTTGCACTTCACCTCTCTGCCGACACAGTTCCAGCGCACACTCAATCGACAACTCATTAATATCTTAAAAGTCTTCCAACTTTTTTAATTACGAAAAAGAAAAATTCCATTATTTAATCACCATCACAACGATTTCATTGTTATCTTGTGAGTAATTGAGTTGGGTGTTCTATCAATGGATAAAATTGTGGGAAAAAAGATGAGCTACTTGGCAATGAAAACTGATTCTGTAGCTGCTAATGAATTGATCAGTTCTGATTTTAAGGAAATTGGGAATGCTGTGAAAAAGCTTGCTAATCATGCAGTAAAGCTTGGTAGCCTTGGAATTGGGACTTCAATCCTCAAATGGATTGCTTCAATTGCAGCAATGTAAGTTTTACGTTTTGCCTTCTACCTGTTTGTGTTATTTCCTCAGTGAACGTTTGATTTGCAGTACTGGACGAGACTGAATTCTGTGAATGGATTCGATTATATGTCTGTGTGAACTAATTGAAGAAATCATTTTTTTTAGAGATTACTGTCATGAAGTTAGGTTTAAGAAGAGAGTGAAGAAAATATAAGTGCTTGAATTATATTATACTATGAAAAAAGAAAGTAATTTCTAATGGTTTATGAAGAAAAGAACATCAGGAGAGATCATATGTTAATATATCAGTGGCTAAAAGTAAGTCTATACTTGTGTCAGATTATAAATTTAGATAAAGGCTCGTTTGTTGGGACTTTTGAAAGTTAGAAGCGAGTTAGGAAGCTGACCTAAGGTTGAGTTCTTCGACAAGAAGCATCAACAAAAGCAGAAACCCTGCCAAACAGCACCTAGGTTTTATTCAAGTTTAGATGCCCTTGTTACTTGAAAATGATGATTTGTTGACCTAAGTAAGATCATATGAAGCACTGCATAGTTCAACTGCAGTGAGATTTAACTTGATTCTAGCCATAGAAGTTCAAAAGTAAAACTCAGTCCATCCCCTTCTGTTAGTCCATTGTCGCTCCAGTCGGCTTCTAAAGGATCGTCGTAACTTCATGCTTGCTATTTAACGCTTTCTGCGCTTCTTCTCTTGCTACTTAATACAGGGCAAAAAGGAAACCCATAGGAAGGGGAATTCATTTAATCGCAATACTTAAAACTAGTTGTTGCGTGCCTCGTATCCGATTCATCAACCGTGCTTAACATTTCTCTGTGGTGTACAGTTACTTGTTGATCCTAGATCGAACAAACTGGAAAACAAACATGCTCACGTCCCTTTTAATTCCGTACATTTTCCTGAGTCTTCCTTCACTGATATTCAACTTGCTCAGGTAATGATGAATGGTCCTTACTGTAACTTCCATATTTCTTGTCTGTTTTGATGATTCATTGTTTCGTAAAACTTACACGATTGATAGTACAGAGGAGAAATTGGGAAGTGGATTGCGCTTATTGCTGTCGTACTACGCCTTTTCTTGCCCAAACGTTTTCCAGGTACGACATTATTACCAGTCAGTTGTGATACCCTCTCCCGCCCCCCTTCTATTAGGAGTAATATCGTCACTTGGATAAATTTTTTAATGCAGATTGGCTAGAACTGCCGGGAGCTTTGATCCTTCTCATTGTCGTAGCTCCGGGCTTTTTTGCTCACACCATAAGGAACAGCTGGATTGGTACCTTGATTTGTTTGATCATCGGATGCTATTTGCTGCAGGAACATATCCGAGCATCTGGTGGGTTCCGGAATTCCTTTACGAAGAGCCACGGGGCTTCCAACACTATCGGGATAGTGATTCTGTTGGTATATCCAGTTTGGTCACTCATACTCACCATTCTTTGAAGAAAATGTTTCTGTGTAATTTTATTATGTGTGTGAAGGTTAGCATGAATTATTCCCGTGTCTGTATTGCTTTCGTGTTGCAAGTTGGTTAGTTCTTTACCGATGAAATAAATTCATTGGACCTGAGATTGAGTTTTGTGTCATTGTATGTAACATAATTCTCCTTATATGAATGTTTTATCAATAGAATAAACTAAACTTTATTTTTAATTAATTTAGAGTCAACCAATGAAAGGATACACGAACAAAACAAACTCCATTAAGGATTAATATTCATGGATTTACCGTAAATCATGAATTATTCGATTTGCTGCAATAGATACAAGAGGTATACATGGAAATTAACAAGAAGAAGCATGTGTAGTTCTTAATTGAATGAACTTGAATTGTAGATATCGAGTACTTGGAAGGGAAATTTAGAAGCTCGGATTGATTTGATGGTGTTCTTTATGCCTTTGTTCCCTTGGCAACACTGTACAGTTTATCGATGCAATCCTGCAGATGTACAAAAACACGTTTAGAATGGTGACTTGTGTTAAAACAATCCAAAGAGAAGAAGAAAAAGAGTCTAGGGATTTATTGAATCTGCATTATGAAATTGAATGAATAAAATTTAGATACAAAGAGACTATTTATAGTCTAAAATAAAGAAAATTTAAAAAACTATTCTACCCTTAATAAATAATGTTAACAAAATAATCATATATTTCTTAACAACTTGCAATGTTCATTCATAAGCATTAAACTAATGCTATCATGCGCCTAATGTGCCGTTATGGCTTGCTTAGTAAGTACTAATAGTATTAAGAAAGAATAAGCTTAAAACTTGTCAATTATGTATCTTAGTAGTGTCTAGTATTGCGTACCGAACATATCCTTAACGAACAACAATGGCCGGCCCTTCCAAAAGGGTGATACAAGGCAGAGAAGATAAGAGATTAACCAATCCTTTTGACATACCTTGTAATATTTGAGCAATTGTGGCCTCTTAAGCTTAAATGTCGGAGTAATTAGATCGCGATCAATGTCAAAAGGAATTGGCTCCAGATGAACTGCTCTTAACATTTCAAAACCTCGAAGCTGAGAGAACATTTGGATCAAACGAGGAACAAAAATAGAGCACGAAATCAATTAAGGAAAAAGTACATACGTTATATCTTTTGGCAGTGCCGTTGAGCTCATCTAGAAAATATTTGCTAGCCTTGGAGTCACTGCACAGGGACTTGAAATCACCCTTCACCTCATTATTTGCGGCCCAATCTTCAAGTGCTTTTTTCTCTGGTACCACCACAGCCACGAGAAACGACTCAAAGCTGTTTCCATAAACCCAAATCTGCAAAGCGTCAAGTCAAAATTTAGGATTCCCACAATCAATGGTTAAAAAAGAGTAATATAATCATTTGTGAACACAGCAATGCAGAAGAACAAGTGGGCTATCCCCATGAATTTGCATGCTGTCAAGAATGAAAAATATTGTTTCCTTGGTCAGTTTGAACTTACTGATGTTACAAGGGAACATCGCGAGTATGTGCTTTCAATTCTTTCCACAGCAACGTATTCACCTTGTGACAGCTTGAATATATTCTTTTTCCGGTCAATGATTTTCATTGCTCCATTGAGCTGCCACTCCCCAATGTCCCCTACAGGTTTCATTTTTATATCTTTAGTTACAAATCAAATAACTTGATAGCTGATTAGGATACGTTAGAAGTTAAATTCCACGATGAACCCAGATCCCTTCCATTCAATAATAGAAGATATTGAGTCCTCAAAAGAAGGAAGGAGAGGTTCTGGTTGCATTTTGAGAAGTGTACCTGTATGGAACCATCCATCCACAACTACATCTTCTGTAAGATCCTGGCGTTTATGGTATCCAGAGAACAAGGTTGTTCCCCTTAGACAAATTTCACCACGTGGCACACTAGAAAGTGCATCATATCCCATCTCAGGAACTGATTCAAGCCTCGCTTCGATTGTAGTCATGGGAACACCAACAGTTCCAATCATAGGGAACACATTGGCTATGGAAGTGAAACATCCACCACAACTTTCTGTAAGGCCTGAAGTCAAAATAACAGGGAAAGAAGCATAAGTTATAATAGAGAAATTAAGGAAATAAGGAGAAAAAATGAAATTCTGGTACGGTAATTACTATCTAATGGCAAGCTTGAATACTTCTATACATCTAAAGAGTAACAGAAGCTGAAACATAGCATTAGGCTTGTTCAATATATTCATTTAAAGGCTCACAAGTAAAAATCAAGTGCACTGGTGACATGATATGAGATTATAATTAGATTGTAGTGCAATGATATGCTGCCTTCATCTACCATGGTTTCTCCAGTTGTAAGTTGATACTATTTTCATCAAGGGACGGGAAATACACAAAGCAGTATAAGTTTCTAGTAAAAGTTTCCCTCGGGATCAACACTCTTTTTCATACCATATCCTTGTGATAAAACACAGCAGCATGTGACCCTCAGAAATTCCTCAATGTGCTTAGGCAAAGGTGCAGCTCCAGATAACATAAGACGAACTTGTCCACCAAATCCTTGTTTGATCTGAAAGGGTAGGAATCAGTGAGGAAAGCAATATAAATTTAGAATGTAACATGCTAACAGTAGAATTTTAAGTCACCAACCTTATCAAAGACCAATTTGTCCAACAGAGGAGATGCTTCCTCTTGTTTTAGTCCTTTCTCCAAATTCCTTAATTTACTGTCAGTATTGCTTATTCATTTAGAGCGAGGAAGTGAAAGAAAATAATTATTGCAATAGGTTCAACAGTGACACATACTAGTTGTACGCATACTGGAAAAGTGCCTTTTTCAGTGAACCACCAGCTGATATTTTATCCATTATGCCTAAACAAGCAGAAACCCAAAATATTAAGTACAGGAATTTGACATTCTAATAATACAAGAAAACTCTTATACCTGTGTATATTCGATCATAGACTCTAGGAACTCCACAGAAAATAGTTGGTTTCAACACTAGAAGATCCTCGATCAAGTATCTGATGTCCTGTGAGTTAGCGGAAATGTTGCTTTAAACTTTCCACAGTAATTGCGTCGAATCAGATTCTTATTTAGCAGAGAAATTCAATAGCGAGATATTGATCTTACGCCTTGCCAAAATCCTATTGAAGAACCCCGGGAAATAGAGTATGTCTCAATAATTTGATCAAATATATGAGCTAGAGGAAGGAAGGAGAAGTATACATCCTCATCGGAAAACTGCAAATAGAGAATATTATTCAATGATTGCATGTTCACTTCCTGGCTGGAGGAGAAAACAGGATAATATTTAGTCCATTTATAATATTTTTACCTGCTTGTCAGTCTCTAGAAGAAGTTGATCCATAGATAAGACTTCAGCCATGAAAGCATCATTATTTAGAATGACTCCTTTTGGCTCTCCCGTTGTTCCACTGGTATACATTATCGTGCATGTGTTTTTCTTCTCCCTTGGAGGAAGATCACTATCCAAATTTCCCTGCAAAGATGAAAGAATGGTGAAATCATAACAAGACCGTATTGGTGCCTAAAAGTAATGGACATATTATTCATTCTGCAATGTCATTAACCAATGTCTTCTTCTAACCATTGAAGTAAATTCTTCCCATGAGAAGCAGGCTACACCTAGTTCCTCAGCTGCTTCCTTTTGCTTGTCCGAAATCTTTCCAAAACTCACAATAGCTTAACAAAAGAAACAGTTCATTTAATATACCTTGCACTTAACAATAAAACCAAGAAATGATAACTTCAGAAATAGTAATTTCACCTACTTTTTAGATGTGGTGTACATTTGGAGAGACATGTTAGGATCTGCAGAAACATCCAGATAACAGATCAAGCAGTTGAAAGAACAAAAAAATCCTTAATTTTCACTTCAAAAATTTAGTATCTCTGATATGTAGCCATTTCAAATTAAAAGTTAATTTCCAGTTATACAAAAGATGTAAATAATTTAAATCAGCTATTTGTGAGTGGATGATACAGAGAGCGATTTTTAGCTCCAGGATGATCTATACAATGTGGAATTTGCCACACATCAGACATGCCCAACATGACCAAATCAGAAGTTCCCACCACTTTTAATGATACAAAATAACATGCATAATCATTATCATTTTCGATCCGTCAAATCCTAATTATCAACAGCGTCAATAAAAATCAACTTACCAATAGAGGGCTTATCCATTTTCCAATTCAAAAATAGATAAATTACTCGTGTATCCTTGTTTAGGAATCACGAGAGTAGGTAGATAAGTAGCATCCAGAAAGGACTTTATTTATTCAATTTTTACATTTTATTGTAGATGAAATTGAAAATTAAGCCAATATACAGCTGAGTAAAAGAGAACATACAGCTGGGAGCTTGCTCTCTTGAACAAATGCTATGGAAACTTCAGCATGGTTGATTATATACTCAACTGCATTTGCACCTACACTTACACAGCTCCAACCTTAATCCAGTAACTAATCAAACGATCAAGAAACGACTCATTGAATATTTGGAAGAAACATACCAAGGCTATCATACAGCGGTACATAAGTAATGGCATGCCCATTACAAGCCTGTTGAACAATAAAACAAAGTAATTAACTTCAACATAACACAATCTAAACAGGATTATGAATATACCTCCATTGCAATTATCCACTCCGGGCAGTTAGCTCCGTATATGCCACAACGGTCACCCTAATCAATTAAACACGAGTGATTATAATGTGATTGTATGCTGTAAGCATTTGTTGAAGTTTGATAATTGAAAGCTACTAACGGGATTGACGCCACGGCTTCGGATGGAAGAACCGATCTTGAGAGTTGTATTATAGACTTCCTGGTATGTGAGCCAAGAATACGAACCCGCCTGTTGATTTTCGAATACCAATTCAGCATATTATGTAATGACATTGAATTTATTAGTCCACAACATGGTAAATTAGCAAATATGAGGTGATCTAGCACTATTTGGGAACAGAATTGCACCTTCCCATCGATGATTTGACGGCGACCGAGCATCGGATTCTTGGGATTCGTTTTGACTGATTCACTGCGGGTAACGAAGGAGCATTATAGATCAAATTAAACAATGCCATGAGACCAAAATTAGGGTCCTGAATCAGAATTCAGAATTACTGGAAACTGGTGATCTGGTTTAGCAGCAGAAACGAAATATAAATAAATGAATTTATAAACAAAAACATGAAACAGAAATAACAGATGGCCTATTAGCTCAGTTGGTTAGAGCGTCGTGCTAATAACGCGAAGGTCGCAGGTTCGAGACCTGCATAGGCCAAATTGTTTTTTTCTTTTTCTTTTTTTTTTTCCTTTCAGAAAGAAAAAGAAAAGTCGGGTTTTCTATTTTGAAATTTTTACCTCCAAGAGTGTTCATGAACTTCACCATTGTTCTAACAACAAAACTCATAATTCTCTGTATCTGTGTGTATATATCTATACGAACCTGAAGAAGTCCCAGGGAGATTGAAAAGCAGGAGGAATCTCCATAAGACCATCTTTAGCATAAATGCTGCGATAAACTGCTCCCGCAGAAGGCTTCCCATTATCAGCAGCAGCTCTTCCTTCTTCGACTTTCACAGTATAATCCCACATTTTTTTGCACTAAACAAGAAGGGATTTTTGACCTGGAAATGAACAGCAGAGGAGAGTTAAGGCTAAGTAGGAAGAGTTTGTTGAGAAGGGCTGGAGCAATAAATTTAAAGATTTATGTTACAGACTTACAGTTGAGAAGCAAACAATTTCATTTATGTTGGTAGTTGAATTTTTTTTTTTTTTTTTCTTTTTTGTCAAACAGGAAAAAGTTTTACTAATTTTCAATTATTATTACATACAATCTAGTCGTACCAATTATGCTCTACAAATGCTTCGTTTAAATGCGAAATCTAATAAAAAACTTAGGGCCTGTTTGGTACGGTTTTTACTTTTTGTATAGTAGTTTCTGAGGGCATTAAAAAAGAATTATTCCTTAAGTACAGAAATTATTCACAGATTTTCAATAGAAATTTGAAATTTGTGAATCTTGTTCCTCAATTTGTGTTTCCCCTCGTCACTTGATTGAATCACTTTCCTCCAATTCAAATTCCTATGTGATTTCTGTGAGTATTTCATGTACTCATAGCACGACTCATTAAAAAATTATTCAAAAGCAACTTCTTAATCTCAAAAGCAGTTTTTGATTCAAAAGTCATGACAAATGAGCCTTTACTATTATTTGATGATACATTTAAACGTTTAAATTTTTTTCAAACAAATTAAACAATGCATGTTGTGTGTCACATTGTACATGGAATATTTCACAATTTTGAGTCTCAATTACAATTTCTTAAGAAAATGCTAAATTTAACATGAAATTTTCAACCACAAGAGACTTTGTGGCACAAGACATAAATGCATTTCCCAAATAAGAGGACAAAACACATGTTACATACATTTATTTTTCCAGCAATATTGATTGTTAAGCCTCCAAATAAGCTGGCTAGTCACCGTAAATTGTCAAAGTGTTAGTTTGAACTTAAGAATTGTCATGGTCTCACCCACAACCACGAGGTTCAATTTCACGAGCCGATCTGATTGTGTGCTCCAACCCTCTTGAGCTAGTTCGAGCTAGCCCACTCAATTTGGCCAGGTTTTCACAAATTTTGTACTGTTGAATTCATGATCGTGGCTATAGAAGTCAAGACCAATACAATTGAACATTCTTAACCGAAACAAATTACGTTAGTAATAATTAGCTAATTGATTTGCAATTTCACAACTACCATTATGATTGCAGTTGCGTGAATCACGTATCCTTTCCGTCTATAGTATGGAGGAAGGAAAGTGTGATCTATACATTAATCTGATATTAGGTAAGAATTATTGCACTATGATCGTTTAGGAGACATCGACATTCTACACACTACACATGATAATGGAGCAATATGTTGTCCGATAAACTATCAACTCGTAGTATACTATTGATAATCACATACACCTACTTACACCTACAAATAAATTCCCGCCTTCAATCTTCAGTCGCTTTCACCATTTAATGCCGCCAATAGAAATTTAAAGCTGCATTAAAGGGCCGGAAAACCGTAAAAACTTGAAAGAAAGCTAAGCCCAAAATTGAAACACTTGGGCCTAGTCACTGAGTTTAACCCAATAAATGATGGGCTTCTCTTCGGTTCTTGATCTTAAAATTGTTCTAAAACCCTAATTTGATAGGGTTTGGGTTTTAGATCTGTCACACCTAAGAAGTAGGAGGAAGAGCGGCTTCGATTTTAACGGCGAAGATGTTTCCCGGAATGTTCATGAGGAAGCCGGATAAGGCGGAGGCGTTGAAGCAGCTCAAGACCCACGCAGCAATGTTCGGGGTTTGGGTTGCCGTCATTCGGGTCACACCTTACATTCTCCATTATTTCTCCGACAGCAAAGAAGAACTCAAGCTTGAACTCTAATTTCCTTCACAGGTATCAAACTTATAAGTTAATTAAAAAGTATTATGGTATGCCTACGCATGAACTTTGTGTATGCCTACTTATGCATCTGTATTGAAATGAAATCGTGATTACGTTCTATGAATCATGTATCTTCTATTTTGATTATCAGCAAGACTTTTTTTTTTAACTGGACTGATATTGCTAACCTAATTACTGTGTGCATAGAAAGCTGGTATTTCATGACTGACTATAGGTAAAATTATATATTAGTTTCCTGGTGTGTGATCAGACGTGCTTGAATAAGGGGATGCAGATCACTCATTTATATGTAAAGCTATATAATTTAAGGTAGGTGGTTTCTTGTTTTCAGATGAACTTGTTACTGGAATTAACTTGAAAAAAGGATTTGTAAAAATGTAGGTCTGTGCTTTGGACTGCCCTTCCAACAAGTTTATCATATGCAATCTAGAATTCCTCAAACTGCGTAGTGTTATACTGGAAACCCTGGGGGAGGGGATGGTTGTATGGTTCAGTGATGTTCTCTTGGGGGTTTATGAACTATTTTCAAAATTTTGGACCTTTGGAGGAAGATTTACTGGTGAGAATCCAAAGTTTGGGGCCTGGATTCGCTTCCTCCTTTACCATTCTATTCTTTCTTATATAGTTTTATGTGGCAGAACATTAGAAGGGAAAATTTAACAGAACAACATCTGAAATTACCATCATCCTTCCATTTCTGTTTGCTCCTACTGCTCTGGCGTGTAGGGCTAATCATGACCTAGGGGTGTTAACTTGGCTTGGTGTCCCGGTGGCTCGGCCTATAAAAAGCCTGAGCCGGCCTACCAAGCCAGCCCATGATGAGCCTAACCTTAAAATAAATAAATAACAAGGCAGTGCTATTGCAGGCAGCAGTCTGCTGCATTGTTAAAGGCTGCTAGGCCTTTTGACTGCTGCCTTGTTAAAGGCAGCTTGTACTGCTGCCTGTTAAAGGCAGTTACACGTACTGCCTCCATGAGCCAGCCGAGCCGAAAGCTTGGGTCGAATCTAGATTTTTTGTCCAAGGAAAAGTTTGGCTCGAATAAAAAAAGCCCAAACCATTTTTACTCAAACCCGAGTTTCGAGTTTCGGCTCGTCGACATCCCTTATCATCTCTCTCTTGCTCTATCTACACAGTTATCTGCCTGGAAAGATACTTGGGAAAACTGGAGAATAACCATCTGACGACTAAAATCTTTTATTATGGTTTGCCACATGGAAGAGTTGATGTGAAGAAGCTATTAATCTGTTTACTGCTTAGTAATCATTATTTGACCAATGCAATTTCGTCTCTTCCATTTGTGGAATCTCTCCATATTGGTTACGTTTTCCTGTATAATACAAGGGTGGGGCAATTCTTATTTTCGTTTTGTGCTAGTACATTGCATGCATCTGGTTAGCCTTGTTGTTCTGCATTCTTTAGGTGTTCACCTTGAACTATTCATATAGTTGATGGAATGGTTTCGTTGCATACATTTAATATCTGAGAATCAGATAGTACTAGTATCTGTTTCTACTTAAAATTTGTGTAGCCATGATACTTGTAGAAGGGCTGCTTTTGACCTTTTTGATTATCTACTATTACAAGTGATGCATCTTCTTTTGTCGTTCTCATGCAGTTAGTTTCGAAGGAAATGCAAAGCGGGAGAAGGAACTGAGCCAAAACTAATATTCTCCTTGATTTTTTTTTTTTTTTTTTTTTCATCACCCTAATTTTTCGTCGTCTTCTGTATCTTTCCAGCCTGCAAACCTGGGGTAGATTAATTATTCTGACTAAAAATCTAGTTTGGGTTACTGTTTTGGATCGTTAGATTTTATGATAATGTTGATATTAAGCTAATGTGCGTCACGTTGGTGTGGCTATTACATGTTTGTCTACGTTATAAATTCCTATGTTTAGAATCCGAAAAGATTGCAACAAATTAAGGATTACGTGATTTTGTTGAAGAGGATGAATGGATGATTGGAAGATTGTCGTATAAAACAAAAAAGAAGTCAGAACCAGATTCATTCGCATTTTTTATATTCTTGCCAAAGTACAAGTTCCAAATGCACTTGCTCTAATATTCTGGACTACACTTGTTTCTATTTTTCTGTACAAAAAGATGATGAACAGGGAAAAAAAAGAAAAAACAAAAGCATAAAATCATATTGTAGTAGAGAAACAAAAACTTTATTCGATACCATCAGTAATTGTGAATTTTGTATATTTTGATTGTTTTTTTACTGTAATACTGTTCAATTTCGTGTAAGTTTGCCATCGTCGGACTCTTTTTCTTAGTTAAGATATATGTATTCGATAAATAAGAATCAATTACAAAGGAACAATGACTCGAATAGAAAAACAGCGTATCAAACATGCTCATGATAAGCATCTTATTTTGGAAAAGGCAGATTAAACTTGCTTTTCTTGTTAAGCTAATAGAAACCAAGTTTTAAGTGAAAGACGAGTGAAGGAACAGCGAAAGAATTTGTTCTTTCATGCCACTTCCACTTCAAGAAACTAATGATTATAGATAAATTCTTTTCCTTTTTGAAATTCTATCTCACAATATTCGTTATAAATCTCTTTAATCGACAAGAAATATTCTTTTACCTATAATTACAAAATAAGGGGATGCAGATCACTCATTTATATGTAAAGCTATATAATTTAAGGTAGGTGGTTTCTTGTTTTCAGATGAACTTGTTACTGGAATTAACTTGAAAAAAGGATTTGTAAAAATGTAGGTCTGTGCTTTGGACTGCCCTTCCAACAAGTTTATCATATGCAATCTAGAATTCCTCAAACTGCGTAGTGTTATACTGGAAACCCTGGGGGAGGGGATGGTTGTATGGTTCAGTGATGTTCTCTTGGGGGTTTATGAACTATTTTCAAAATTTTGGACCTTTGGAGGAAGATTTACTGGTGAGAATCCAAAGTTTGGGGCCTGGATTCGCTTCCTCCTTTACCATTCTATTCTTTCTTATATAGTTTTATGTGGCAGAACATTAGAAGGGAAAATTTAACAGAACAACATCTGAAATTACCATCATCCTTCCATTTCTGTTTGCTCCTACTGCTCTGGCGTGTAGGGCTAATCATGACCTAGGGGTGTTAACTTGGCTTGGTGTCCCGGTGGCTCGGCCTATAAAAAGCCTGAGCCGGCCTACCAAGCCAGCCCATGATGAGCCTAACCTTAAAATAAATAAATAACAAGGCAGTGCTATTGCAGGCAGCAGTCTGCTGCATTGTTAAAGGCTGCTAGGCCTTTTGACTGCTGCCTTGTTAAAGGCAGCTTGTACTGCTGCCTGTTAAAGGCAGTTACACGTACTGCCTCCATGAGCCAGCCGAGCCGAAAGCTTGGGTCGAATCTAGATTTTTTGTCCAAGGAAAAGTTTGGCTCGAATAAAAAAAGCCCAAACCATTTTTACTCAAACCCGAGTTTCGAGTTTCGGCTCGTCGACATCCCTTATCATCTCTCTCTTGCTCTATCTACACAGTTATCTGCCTGGAAAGATACTTGGGAAAACTGGAGAATAACCATCTGACGACTAAAATCTTTTATTATGGTTTGCCACATGGAAGAGTTGATGTGAAGAAGCTATTAATCTGTTTACTGCTTAGTAATCATTATTTGACCAATGCAATTTCGTCTCTTCCATTTGTGGAATCTCTCCATATTGGTTACGTTTTCCTGTATAATACAAGGGTGGGGCAATTCTTATTTTCGTTTTGTGCTAGTACATTGCATGCATCTGGTTAGCCTTGTTGTTCTGCATTCTTTAGGTGTTCACCTTGAACTATTCATATAGTTGATGGAATGGTTTCGTTGCATACATTTAATATCTGAGAATCAGATAGTACTAGTATCTGTTTCTACTTAAAATTTGTGTAGCCATGATACTTGTAGAAGGGCTGCTTTTGACCTTTTTGATTATCTACTATTACAAGTGATGCATCTTCTTTTGTCGTTCTCATGCAGTTAGTTTCGAAGGAAATGCAAAGCGGGAGAAGGAACTGAGCCAAAACTAATATTCTCCTTGATTTTTTTTTTTTTTTTTTTTTCATCACCCTAATTTTTCGTCGTCTTCTGTATCTTTCCAGCCTGCAAACCTGGGGTAGATTAATTATTCTGACTAAAAATCTAGTTTGGGTTACTGTTTTGGATCGTTAGATTTTATGATAATGTTGATATTAAGCTAATGTGCGTCACGTTGGTGTGGCTATTACATGTTTGTCTACGTTATAAATTCCTATGTTTAGAATCCGAAAAGATTGCAACAAATTAAGGATTACGTGATTTTGTTGAAGAGGATGAATGGATGATTGGAAGATTGTCGTATAAAACAAAAAAGAAGTCAGAACCAGATTCATTCGCATTTTTTATATTCTTGCCAAAGTACAAGTTCCAAATGCACTTGCTCTAATATTCTGGACTACACTTGTTTCTATTTTTCTGTACAAAAAGATGATGAACAGGGAAAAAAAAGAAAAAACAAAAGCATAAAATCATATTGTAGTAGAGAAACAAAAACTTTATTCGATACCATCAGTAATTGTGAATTTTGTATATTTTGATTGTTTTTTTACTGTAATACTGTTCAATTTCGTGTAAGTTTGCCATCGTCGGACTCTTTTTCTTAGTTAAGATATATGTATTCGATAAATAAGAATCAATTACAAAGGAACAATGACTCGAATAGAAAAACAGCGTATCAAACATGCTCATGATAAGCATCTTATTTTGGAAAAGGCAGATTAAACTTGCTTTTCTTGTTAAGCTAATAGAAACCAAGTTTTAAGTGAAAGACGAGTGAAGGAACAGCGAAAGAATTTGTTCTTTCATGCCACTTCCACTTCAAGAAACTAATGATTATAGATAAATTCTTTTCCTTTTTGAAATTCTATCTCACAATATTCGTTATAAATCTCTTTAATCGACAAGAAATATTCTTTTACCTATAATTACAGAATAAATAATTCACCTGCTAAAGCCTAATATTATCCTACAATGTTTATTTATTCATTTTTGAGTATTGTGACAAATATGAAAAATTCATTTTCTTATGTCTTAGAACACAGTATGGGTCCGTCTGACATGACATTTGGGAAAATAAAAAGTTATTTTTGAAATCAGTTGTTTGATTCTCATTATTTTCAAATAAAAGTTTTTTTATCTCTTATTTTTAACCGCACATTCATAATAAAATAATATTATACGTAAATCAAAAACTTTTATTATTTTTTAACCATATCTTACATCAAAAATTGTATCAAAACGCATATTCATTAAAAAAAAATGGGGCTCAAACGGGTTCTAGAAATTATTTTTAAATATGTTTTAATAATTTTTTAAAAGTATTTTGTTTGATTAGAAGAGCTTTTAAAAGAGTTGGTCTAAGATGCTTAACCATGCCAGCAAGCATAAATCTCCTAATGGCTTCATCTGCAAGCAAATTGTGATCTTAATCCATATATCTTGAAGGCCTGAAGTCATTCTAGGATTCAAACAACATTATCCTCCTCCCTTTATATATTAGCCACTTGAATTCGAATTTCTTGCCTGATCAAATAATGAAATACGACGAGATTTCTCACTTCAGCCACCCCTATCACACTCTCGAATCTGAGTACACCAAAGTCCCCTTCAAGTGTGATGGCTGCAAAGAAGTCGGGATCGGCTCGTGCTACAAGTGTAGTAACTGCAACTATGATCTGCACAGGCACTGCGCCGTCCCTTCCCCTTCGATATCCCACCCTTTCTACACCCAGTGCTCTTTCCAATTCCTCGAACGCCCTCCTGGAAATGTAGCTCGCTATTGTAACGCTTGTGAGAAGGACATTACAGGATTCCTGTACCATTGCAAGAAATGCGGATTTGATCTTCATCCATGTTGCGCTAAGCTCCCTATGGTATTAAGCGACGGTGAAGTGAAACTGTACTTGTATAAGAAAGTAAGTGAGCCGTGTCATAGGTGTGGGAGAAAGGGGAGAAGTTGGAGTTATAGGTCGACGTGCAAGAAGTACAATTTGCACGTGGCGTGCGTGAAGGAGATGTTGGTCGAGAGTTGGCACGAAATATATTTCGGAAATGGAGGTGGGAATAGTAGGAAACTGGAGACAAGGATTCCTAGCTTGAAAGGTACACTGCAAACTCATCATAGGAAAAGCAAAGGAAAAGTTCAAACATGTTGTGAAGTGGCTGGATTTGCTCTACAGTTTGTGATTTCTGCAGTTCTTGGGGATCCCACCACCCTGATAGCTGGGTTGGTGGGTTCAATGATGTGAAAATAGTGAGAGAAACTAAAGGTTTGATGTTGTTAATGAAATCTGATCGTGTGAAATTGGGAACCAGTATACTCAGAAAGTTGTTCCCTGTAGATAATAATTGGCTAAAGCAAAATCTGTGTTAATGTAATCCCTGCAGCTTTAACAATGTTTTCTTTTTAATATATGTTAGTTCAGAAGTCATAAAATTGGACTAATCTGGCTTCGTTTCGTTATGCGTCTCAATCTTAAGATTTTAGATTGATAAATAAAAATGGAAGACAAGTGTATTGGATGGATGCCTGTTTGCATCCGGTGATGTTTTTGGAAGGAAAATTATTATTTTGTACACTTACTCTATTCAAAGTCAAGGGTTTTGAGGATCTGTGACTGGAAAATTTACTGCACAAATAGGACCCCCGCCCGCCCTTTTTGACATTTCCAAGAACTGAGGCAATTCACACTAAAGTCTTGGCTTGATTGCTACACTCCACACCCACCCCACGACGCCAGTCAATTCAAGAAAATTGTTAAAGCGGTCAATTCAAGAAAATTGAGTCATTTGTTGGCGGTTTGCCCTTTCCATTTTCTTGTCTTGACAAGAATCCCCCTTTTCTTTACTCCGTCTCTCTTTTTAGCCCTATCTGTTTGGTTTTGTTAGAAATCAGATGCTACTTTTAAATAAGTAACTATTGCACTAGTTGATATACACTTTTTCTAACTCCTAACGTATTAAATCTATCCCTTAATAAGTTACTCGAAAACATGATTGTGTCGGTGAAATTATATGTATCAAATTGAAAATCCAAATATGGGCAAAATCGAAGCAAAAGCATGAATTGTAATGGGATGTCACCTTTCTTTTGTATCATAATTTTATTTTATTTTTTGGTAAAAAACATTACAAAATGCAAACGCCCCCACATAATTGTTAATTAATGAAAATCAATTCTTGGCGAAAAATGGGACCGGACGAGCTTAAACGAGACAAATAATACGTCATAAAGTTTGTATTAATAATTTAATTATATTGGATATTATTGTATGAAATGTTGACTATGTATGGTCCTGCTCAAAATGAGCTGAAAAACGATGGATAAAACGACGTACTTTGAAATTCTAATATTATAAAGTAGTAAGTGAATTTCGATAGACTTACAGTGAAAATTTTGTATAGTACTTCTTCTAAGAAGGCTGCATGGGAAATTGCAGGTCGTGTGAGTCTAGGTCCACGGCCACAGCCACGGCTAAGTTAATTCTTGTAGATGGAGAGCTAGAAGAATTTTCATGTCCAATAAAAGTGTCAAATTTGCTTGAACAGAATCCGGATTGTTTCATATGCAATTCAGATGAAATGGGATTCGGCGAATTTGTTTCAGCAATTGATGGCGACGAGGAGCTGCAGCCGGGAGAGCTCTACTTTGAGCTGCCGTTGAAGTGGTTGAGCCACCGGCTGCAGGCGGAGGACATGGCTTCTTTGGCCGTGAAAGCAAGCGTAGCTCATACAAGAAGTGATGGGACTATGAATTGTTGTGGGTCTAAAAAGGTCGGTCCTATTATACTGTTTCATGAGAAAGATGACAAGGCAAGGCCTGGCTGCGGATGGCGGCGGCTACGGTGGCGGTCGAGCATATAGCTGTAAAGGTCGCAAATTTGATTCAAAACTGAGTATAGTACTTGAAGAGTAAGGCCTAAACTCAGTTCAGTTCCATTTATTGCGATATTAAAAAAATGACGGTTAAGTGACACCGTAAATCACAACTCATTTATAATCTGAATTTCCTTCTCTTTTATAATTGTTATTTTAATTGATCTTCAAATTTATTTTCATTTTCATCTCACATATAAAATCAAATTGTGTGCTTTCAATTGTTAAAATTGAGTCAACAATTGTGTAATTAAAAAAATACTCATCGAGGGATCGATATTCGAACTCACAAGTCCACTTTATTACTTCAACGCACTTGTGCACTTGCGGTATATAATTTTAACGAACAAATACCATTTCATCAACAACCATAGTTCACATTGGGCGTTGAGACGCCGGATTCAAATAGCATTTCGACCCTCGCTTTAACAAGGATTTTGCAACTTGTACATAATGGATTACATAATATGATGTGGAGGAAAAAAAATTGATGAAAAAATTTATTGTGTTTTAAACTGGCAAATGGTAAAGTGACATGTATCTTTGTGTAAGTCTTGATGTATATGTAACAAGTTCCAACAATAATGTTGCTACTTTAACCATGCACCCCCATTCGCCATTTTCCATCACTGGGACCTTCCTAGTTGAACAATCGACTGCTGTGCACTTATCATCTTATACTCGGCTCAAAACCAGCTAAACTCAAGATAGAGATCATTTCAATGATAGCAACTGCTGCTTTGGCTGCTGTACCAGCACTCTTACCCCTTAAATGGACTCCTCGACTCAGAACCGAGTGAAGGCTCTCTCTGATTTGTGGAAATCTTTTTGCCCAACCCAACCCTTATTGGCCATTTTGAAAAAACTTGCATGTGGAGAGGAAGGAGGAGACATAGCCATTGTCTGAAACTACGGAATGAGAAGGCCGGCCTTGAGTTCGCCCGCTGCCAGGGGTGGGACGAGGAGTTTACAGTTATTGGCGTTCAGTATTCTGTCAATTTATGCATCATAATTTTTTGATTGTTTTCAGTCTGATACATGAAGCCAATAATAGTCATAATAGCACTATCAAGGAATCTCACTCCTGCCCATCACAAGTTGAAATTCAAATAGTAGAAAGTGCTTTGCATTTTCACCAATTTCGACCCACCTCTATTTATGGGACATTTGAAGGAGAGTTTATTGACTCGAAAGATTGAGACAATAAAAAATGTCCTGAGGTGCAATGTTCGAGAAATATTGTAGCTGATTTGTGCAAACTCAGGCAATCTGCCTCGGCAAAGTTAACAAGTGTGGTAACGTTGAAAACTAGGTATAAATTCATACATTTTTCCTATATTTTTAGACATCATACAGGAATTTCACGATGGGGCAATGTGTATTATAAACATCGATCAAGTTACTGCAGTCTCTATTTTTACAGAGAGGCAACATTAGTCTTCACTTTATCTGCAGACTAATACACTTTTTACCATACAAGAAATATTTAACATCTTTCCCACATATCCAAGCCTTAAAATTGAACAAGATTTTACATTTTTTTAACGTAAGAAAATTCCTGAATTCTTTTCGGCCAAACAGGCCATTGATATTCAGGTTACTTACAACTTTCAGTCTGTCTCTAAAACATTTATTAGTGCATTTGCAGCTATTTGGAATGACAGTTGAATCACATTTTGGTGCTTCTAGAGAAACTATGAACTGATGATAAACTAAAGATGCTCGATGGCACATATTCAACGTTTATCACTTCAAGTTCTCGAGCAACCTTTCCATTATTATTCCTCAAAATACAACTCCTGAACCTCGACTGCTTCATTCTTGATCAAAAGTTTGGTTATATGATTCATCTGTCATTCAAATCTGCATGATGAAATTTCATCAGATGATGAAGGTGTGAAGTCTGCATCAACTCACTGACGACCTTTGGCAGATTGCAGCTATGGAGGTCACTTGATGAGTTCATTTGAAAGCAAGAACCGGAAATTAAAATTGTGAGGAATCCATTCGATTTTCTTCCATAGTTTTCCTTGCTGAGGCCTCTTTCTCAAAGAATCGAGCATTGAAAGCTCAATTACTTCTGCAATACCAGCAGGATATAAGCCCATCTCCTTTACATAATATTCAACATTCTTTGGGACGAGTAATCTTTGTTCTTTATGTAGCCTGACGTTTGACTGGATGTACTCTTCTTTCGCTATTTCCAGTTCCTGGAACACTTTTTTGGGTGTATATAAACGAACCTGCAAAAGATGAAAAGTTACTGGAAGAAAATTGGAAGCATTTGACCTGAAAAATATCTACCCCAATGCTCACATCAAGGGCATGTGCTCATTTTTCTGGTTTAATATTGTCTATGCTGCATAGTCCACCTTACTATGCAAGCCACAAGAATCTTAAAAGAATGAAGTTATTAGCTCATGTCTAAAACATTTAACACTTACAGATGGATCCGACTGACATCCCAAGCAGAGTGCAAAATGTAGACGAGTTTCTGGATGATGTATTGCGTATGCCTTCTGAGAGTCTCTGGTTTTAAGTCTTGCCTTGGGAAAGAATAATGATTGTAGCCACTATAAGCAAAATTTACGTTCCATTAGGCCATGAAGACACGTTAGTTTAAATGTGTTTCAGTTGCATGAAAATTGATTGGGAAATATCTTAGCTAAAGACGTAAGAACTTGACGCGATTAACTTAGTTAACTATTTATATATAACAGAAAATTCGGGTTTACTTGAGCTGGACGAGGCAATCTGCATCCTAAAATAGAACTCTGCATTACGTCAATGCTTACAGTTTGGCCTCCAATGTTATATGCAGCCTGGATCATATGAGAAGTTATTCAGATCAAAAAAGAAAGAATATGCTCCAATTCTTCAGAATATTTTCTTAGCTTCTTGTTACCTTGAGGACGAGAGAAAACCTTTTTAGATTTCCTCGTGGAATACCGTACACCAAAAATGCCTGTTGCATAAATGAGTCACACTTGATTTCTGCCTCGTACTGTAGGACAAAAATGGAAAAAACTGAATTCTTACGTGCATCACCAGTGCGTTGTGAACATTAATCCAGAAAGCTAATTTCTCTTCATGCTTCAGTTTGCCGGGATCAACTTGTGCCAACCTAGAAATGAGAAACCTGAAATCAAGTAGTAATGATGTTTCAGTGTTACTAATAATATCTGCTGAAATTCAACACTTTCAAAGGAATAAGAGTGTGCTTGGCTAAGCTTAAAAGTAAAGTTACTTCTAAATATCTTTTTCGCCAACTTGTTCGAGCTTTGTTTGCAGTGGGATTTTCTGGTTCGACCTTATGTGGTTAAGTTCAAATCCAGACTGAAAATCCGCTTTGACATCAACATATCGTAATAAAGTAACAGATAATCTCACTGCAAGTTACAAACTTCAAATAAAATAAAATAAAATAAAAAAGCACTAGCACAACTACGCAGAAACTAGAAGACCTTGGTACCTAAATTTTTGTAGTTGGTCTTCAATAGCATTTAGTCTTTGGCTATCTCTAAGGATGCCTCGAACTTCAACCATTGCAAAGAAAGGTCCGGAAAATTCTTTAGATGCTCCAATATATAAAGGACTTTTCATCCATGAATTGTCTTCACATTGCCTCGGAGAAAATTTACTTATTGGAGACGAATGTGAAATAGCTGAACTGAATTCACGATTGATCAAAGGTGAGTCCGAGAGATGAAAATATATAGTTGAGATGCACTTAATCATCTCCTCGGAAAGCCAATTAGGTGTTTCTTGAGCATGATCAGGAAAACTGGAACCAAGTTGCTCTGCTAAACTGGCACTTGAGGTAGAGCCCTGAGCCCTCTGGCAAAAAGATACAACAATGCACAATTCGACAGTCTTAACTAAGGCCTCCATTCGTTAAAAATTTTATACATGATTTATAAATTCAGTCAAAATTAGACATAAATTTCAATCACACGTTCATAGCTACTAATCATTATTATCCACATGTTTTATGGAACCACTACTATTCCTCAATATAAACCATTTATAAATTTGGCAAGAGGCTAAATTTCAACGTTTTAAAATCACTTTTAAGCTACTTTTTTTTGCCACTACCTCCAACATCGATAATGGTAAAGAATGGTGCAAGTCTACAGCTTCAGCAACAGCTTGAGATGGAGAAGTTCTGAAAGCACAAGTCGAACGCTGAGATAGTGATGATTGGCTTCTGCCTATCCCACTATCAACTAGTGTTTCTGCTCCCAAAATGTCATTGCATTTGTTGGCTGAATCTTGAGGTGGCACAAACGTGACTGAACTTTCTTTCGAAGGCGGTAAACTAGGTTTGAAAAATTCCGGTAACATCCATTTAGGAGTTTCTGAATTCGCGCTTCCTCGTTCATCCATTGTAGGCAAGGTGGATAACCTTTTCGAAAAGATTCTCCTATACATTGATAGTAGATATTTCTCCAAGTATGCAACTTCCAACTCCAATACAGCAATTTCTTTGATAAGATCACCAGCAGGCTGTTCACAAGCAAGCATGATGAGAAATATTTAAGTCTGAGCAATCTAAAGAAGAAAAGTTCAATTGTCGACTCTCTTAAGCACATTATCATAAGTTAAGATTGAGTTTTTCGTGTTAAGACAAGCTTGTATCTCGATAATGAACTAAGAGAACACCTGGTCAAGTGATTTATATTTTGGATCGTCCAAGAGAGGCCAGTAATTCATTGCTTTCTCGAGTGCACTCCTTACTATGATTTGGTCCTCTAGTTGTTTCTGAAGCTGTATAATCTACAAAAGTGAGCAGGGCATCACAATAAGTATTATAGTTGTAAAAATAAGCTGCACAACAAGAAAAGTAACGAGATTACCTCATCTTTCAGATAAATTTGAGCCTCGCCAAGGGGCAGTTGTCTATTCTTGGCTTCAAAAATTTTCAAATGCCCCATTGCCAGATGTGTTAAATTTCAACTCAACACGATCACTCAGAACTTGATTAACGAAATTTTCGCCAAATCAAAATGGTAAGAAGCCTAGCAGGCGCTGAACTTTTCTTCCTCAGTTCTGACCTGGTTTAATCATCAAAAGTCGAAAAGAAGACCGTCTTTAGTTGTGTTTTCAGTAAACAAGTTGAAAATTTATCAAATTAGACAAATTGTGCTTCATAGTTCCCATTTTAATTCAACAAGATATGGCGCAGAGGTTCTTACGGTACAATCCTGGGAGAACTAACACTATAACGAGGAGTAAAACTGCCTCATAGACGACAAGAAGACGGCTATAAAATCTAAATCCTAATCTACTAGTGACAGGCATGAATAAATCTCCGAATACCATGGAGTAATAAAAACATGAACAACTAAAGGGAAAATTTCTTCTTCTTAATGACTTCGGCTAAAGCATACAGTTTATAGGGAAAAAAGGGAAAAGAAACCTACCTTTGTTAGGTCTTAGAATGTCGAATCCATATGTAAGCAGTTGAACAGATGCAAATTCCTTCATAAATATAGAAACCCAACAAAAATCTGATACCCCATTTATGAAAATTCACTGAAACAACATTAAATGCATCAACTTCATATTCAACAGAAAGTGACAAGGGTTCAAACAGAATAAAAAACGTTGTGTAAGAAAGGTCCAAGAAACATTAAATTTGGTAACAACAAGGATAGACTGCTGTTTCTGAGAAACAATGGTAACAGTTCAGTTATCGAGAGAGACAATTCACACACACACATGAATTCTCGGAAAGCTGAATCAGAATCTACTGTTCTAATGACGAAATGGTTCAAAAGCTTGAATCTTTTATCAGTACTCACACCACTCCACTGCCTAATATATAGCAAGTCCTAAGCCATGTAAATGTTTACACCAACATACCTTCTCTTGAGTTGGATTACGCGGAACTTAATTGTACTGTATACTTATTTTCTTATCAAAATGCAAGATGTTGCATGTAGTGAGTGCGCCCAAGGCAAACGTTTTGACATAGATCGAGAGGCGTGTAATTGAAATCTTATGCACTGATGAGCAAGCGTGACGCGACCCTCACATGTCACATGGTTGGTTTAACTAAAATTGAGAGATTGTGCAAACATGAGGGGAAAATGAAAGTTACTATTTATGTTTTGACTGGTGGGTCAACTGTCTTAGAAAAGCAATGGCACATTTGGTGTGACTTTTGGAATGTAAGGTTAAGGCATTTTCGTGCATAAAAAGAAGTAATTTAGTTTGGGGGAATTGGATTTTTATTCAGAAAGTCGATGGGCATTTAATGCCTGAAATAGAGTGCAGGATTCTCATGCACCAAACGGGAGCACAAATTCCATTATTTGAGATTATAATTTTTGAAATAGTATTATTTTTAAAAAATATGTAATTAAAAAAGTTTTAAATTTACGTGTAATATTATTTTATTGAAGAATGTGTTGTTGATAAGAAGAGAAAAATGCCCCCATTATTTGATATTATAATTTTTGAAATAATATTTTTTAAAAGAATATGTGATTAAAAAAGAATTAAAAAATTTGTGTTTACGTATAACATTATTTTATTAAAAAATGTGTGATTGATAAGAAGAGAGAAAATGAATTATAATTTTAATAGAGGCCAAACGGTGCTATACGCTATATTCTAGTCCAAACTAAAGGTCATCCAAAGTATGATTCTTGTTATTGGTGACTATATCAAAGTTTATCAATGAAGTTTCTTTCACCATTCATCAAAGAGAGAAAAAATTGAATTTCGTAAGACTCTCAAGAACTTGTTCAATTTCTTTTTCGTGAATAATCATTGAAGAATATCCAGAAAATATTTCGAGAATTGATCTGGTTCTATCCGTGTTCCTTCCGTACCCTTTTTTCATCATACCGGAAATTGGACATCAATTTAGTGTAATTTCATCTCTAATGCGTGTAAAAACGAATTCCTCTCGGGATACAAGAGAGATCAAAGCCAATACTGTTAAAACATAATGATTGGCGAACCAATCGTGCATTGAATGGCTGCAAACAGTTGGAAAAAAGGGTTGTTTACATTGGGGTTTGAATTACCTAAAAAGGGGTGAAAGGTGAAGGTCAAAACAAATGCAAAAAAGGAATGGCTCAGAGTGAGATGACACCTCCTTGTGTGTGCTTTCCATTATCCAGCAAACAACTATTTCATATCTTAATACAAAAATTAAAAAAAGGTGCAACATTTTATCAGTCACAGCTCACAAAAAGTCTGGTAAAGGAGATTTTTCTAACTTTTTCATGGGACTTTGGTGCTAATTGCATGCCAAGAAGACCATATTCTTTTTAAAAGTTCAAATACTTTCAACTTACATTTGGCTCTCTCAACTCATACATATTTTCGATGGTTAGCTGAAAAGGGCACCCAATAAAGGAAAAAAGGTTTAGCATCTTTTCGTTTTCAAAAGAGTTTTATGTTGCTTATATGTATTTTGTGGGCTTATAAGAACGTTGAACAATCTCTCTAAATTGCTCGTAATGGTCATATCAAAGAGAATCTGGGATCATTCCTAGAATAAAATTGATTCTTTGAAGTAACTCAGCTATAAAAATAGATTAGATTATCATAATCAGCGTCATTTAAAAAGAGGAGTAGGTTGTAACGACTACTTCTGAGTCTCATATTATTTACGAAAGACTGTGTGATTATTATTTAAATACTATTGATATCTTAATATGAATTCATAAAATTGATTCTTTGAAGTAACTCAGCTATAAAAATAGAGTAGATTTTCATAATCAGCGTCAATTAAAAAGAGGAGTAGGTTGTAACGACTACTTCTGAGTCTCATATTATTCATGAAAGACTGTGTGATTATTATTTAAATACTATCGATATCTTAACATGAATTCAATCAAGATACTCGTAACATATATTAAATTCTTGTCTACATATGGATGGATGGAACGTGACATGATCAATTGCAAATTCATTCAATTTTGTCATTATTGGGAAATCAGACAGCAGGAAGTCAAATTTGCAGGGGTATTATCGATGAATCTAGTAAATTATTGATTATGATTACCATTAATTTTTTCAAAATAATCTGACAGACATACTATCTTAACATTTAATTCACTGCTTACTTCGATTAATTGTCAATAAATGACAGATTTTCCATACTCCCAAGCCACTGGAACCAGTGTGCAAGAGATTTTTATTTATTTTATCACATGGGAACTTATTGACTTTTGTGCTCAACGGAAGGTCAAACAAACATCAGAAAATGACATTTAACTCAGTTCAGCCTCAAATAAATTAAAGATCACAAATTAAAAGTGTTAATTTTTTTTTATCATGAAAAAAATTTTAAAAAAATCTTCCAAGTATTCTCCACTTTGAATCTCTGTGTCAATAATATTTATTTTTGGTTCCTCCAATAATCATTATTATATATTAATATCACTTTCTGCGACGTAAAGAAGCCAAACAGAAGCTTTATTAAGTGAAGAATAGTGAAGAAACCGAGGCCAACGCCACCAAATACGAGAGCTTTGCTGGGCATTGAAAATCCACAAAAAGACACTTTCCACAGGCATTCCAGTCAACCAAGTCAATGCCCAAAACAGGGAATCTACCAAGTCCTTTTGAGTACTTGTTTGGATAGCTAAAAAAGTTACTCTTAATTTTACACAACTTTTCAACCGTGTTTTATTGACTTTTATTAAAATCTACTGAAACTTTTTATCAAAAATTTTGTCAAACAACCCTAAATCATAAACTTGCCCATGCCCATTCCCACTTGAGCTGATACAAAACTGGTTGCACTCAATGTTTTCTTAAAAAGGCCCATGTAAATCATGGCCCAAGAAGGAAACCAAACTTGGGCTGATTACAGAGGAAATTAATAGGGAAAAATTTACAGTTCAGGTGTTTACTATTCCAAAATTAAAAATCAGGCCCCAAAATTTACAATTACAAAAATCGGATTTTCTCTTGAATTAATTAATTACATTTCAGAATTATTATATTAAATTAAATATTTAACTGTAATATAATAAAATCAACCCACCC